TTTTTTAATTTTATCCAACGTTTCGGATTACGTCTTTTTCGAGGGTCCTGTAACGTTCAAAGACCTTCGAAAGAAACGTCAGATATAATATATTTACCGTCTTTCTGTGTTTGAGTATGAAAATCAAAATATGGGCTAAAATTGGGATCTTCTGGTTTCAGTTTTATCACAAGATCTTATATTCAAGTTGGGATGAGGGTAGCTATGAAAGATAGATCTGGGAAGAAGTATTAATACAAGGATAGTCGATACAGCTGTAGACCGGTTTCACAGGTGGGCGCGTGAAACCACGAGCGTGACTTCATATTACTGATACTAAAAGTAGTGTTTGTAAAAAAAAAAAAAAATATTTTGGTAGGGCTAAGGAACACATTGCCACTTATATCGTTCTGCGCATGACTGAAAAGAATAACAATATTATCTGAAAAGTCTGAATAGAACCGAGGTAAAGGGCGAATTTTCTTACAACCCAACAATTACAACACACGCATAACTTATGATGAATGACGTAGAATGTTAATTTCAAGTCATTTTGTAAAATAATGTTTTTTGTATGACGTCACAATATGAACATGCATTACAGTAACCTAAAATTGTCAAAGGAATAAACGGTTATTAATAAAAGAAGCGAAAATCAAATCTGAAGAATAATTTAGAGGTTTTGAAATAGGACAAAACGGAAAACATAAAAATATATCGTATAGGTATTAAAAACGTTAACAGTCTACGACTTTCCAGAAAGTTAATTATCCTAATCTATCATGTGAGAAGCTCTAAATCCCGTAGTGTTTTTTTTTTTTTTACCATGTCTATCGACCTTCACTACTGGGATTATAGACACGAGAAGCGCGTAGCATGATGTGCTAAGAAAATCACCTTTTTTTTTTCTTCTGTGTTTATCTGCCGTAAAATTGGCTTTAAAGAAAATCACCATAAAGACAATAGACAAATTTATGACGGAGATTCCAGACTGCTGTGATAAAGAGCTGGGGTCATTCAAGCCAGGAAAACAAAGAGGGCGCAACGAACAACGACGACGTATAAACCTGCCTTGGTTAAGAAGTTACCCCGTATTTTTCAGAATATAAGACGCACCGGTGTATAAGACGGACCCTTATTTTGCAGACAAAGTTTTGGGGGAAA